ATAATAATAATAATAATAACTGTCTCAAATACAAACAAACAAATCTTCATCTTTGTGCTGTAGAACATTTTCTGCTATTAATGACTTAATGTTTAAAATGCTGTTAAAAACAGTTGATCGAACGATTGATCCTGAATCATTGGTTCTATGAAGAATAAATCCTGAAATTTATCATTAAAAATGTGGAAACTCAGAATTAGTTTTCCTATTCTCAGTAACAGTTTCAACACAATGTGAAGTGTTTTCTTCCTGTCTCCAGGTGTGAAGGACTCCTCAGCTGTATTTGAGCACATAGAAACCTGCTGCATGTTGACGGTGAGCAGCCTGAACCTCAGAGTGACGACAGACTGGGAGATGCTGATCAGTTAACTGGGAACACGTCAGTCACTGGTTTCGTTTCCGTCTGGTTATTTTATTCATGTGAAGAGAATGTTGGGAGAAATCTAAACTAATTGCACTGATTGGAAAGTCCAGTATTTAACTGATCAGACTTAATTAAGACAGATAATTGTTGTTTGTACTGTTGACTTGTGCAATCCCTCCTCAGATTTAAGTTATTTGTTTTTTGTTTTGGAACAGTGTAATTTCTTTTTTTTTTAAAGTTTGGCAACTAAATCCAGGTGTACAGGAACAAACCAGGTACATTTTAAGATTGTTTTTTTTCTGATAATAAAAATGAACAGTTTTAATTCTCTGAACTTCAGGCATTTTCTGTGTGCTTTTTAAAAAATGTGCTACCAACACATTATTACTCACCGTGGAATCAGTTTTTACTACAATATAAAGTCCTGCACCTTTATGGAAACAGAACAACCAAAGCTAGAACTCAGAAATATCTTTAGTGCATTGTGACACAGTTACAATGGCATAAATCATTGAATATGTATATATATATATACATACATACATACATACATACATACATACATATGTAGGCGACCTGTCCAGGGTGTCCCCTGCCTTCACCCTGAGTCAGCTGGGATAGACTCCAGCCCCCATGACCCTAGTGAGGATTAAGCGGTGTATAGATGATGGATGGATGGATGATCTAAGTGGCCTGTGCTTTTCCTGTGGGATGGGGGACCATGATGACACACAATGGGTAAACTCCGCAAATTGCTAAATGGCAAAACTAAAATTTATCTGACATAATCAATATAAGTGTTGTTGAGCTGATTGCATCAATCTTATCAATTTACTAAATAATTATATTTTTTCTGTAGAGTACAACTGCTTGAGATGGAACAATTTTCATTGGGGATTAATGACTGTTCATTGTAGAGCATGTGGTCGAAAATGTTTATTTTAAATAGAAAACATTTATGTTTGATTCAGCCTCAAAAAGTGGAGTAGCTGGAATATACAGATTGCAATAATAACATAATATAAGTATAAGTCTGTTATTATTGTTTTTATATTATTATTATTATTTATAGTAATGGCGGCCCCAATGTCAAAAAAGATCTTCCAGTAAGGTCTTCTCAACTATCCACACTGTGAAGGTCACAGCTGAGCTCGCTGCTTCCTGATTGGTTTATTCTATTATTTAAATATTTTCCTCTTTACTTGACTTAGTGAAATGTTTACTTTTGTGTGTATTTAATATGTGTTTCTTATAGTAGTGTGCAGTGTTTTAAAGGCTGTGTGTGAATAAAAACACAGGAACAACAAAACAAAGATTTTCTTTGTAGGTTGCATTTCCTCCTAGTAGTGAGTTCATTGAATTGGTATTCTGTTTCATTACAATGGAAAACAGTTAAAATAGACTTTTCAGTAGTGTGTACTTCACGCATTCATCAAACTCAGAACAATTGCTGGCTGCCAGAATATGTATTCCCTCCAGTAAATCTGTCCCTGCTGGTCCCAGCATTTTAAATATTCACAGTATGCTCAGACCAAATCTGTCCCTGTTGGTGTCATTATTCCCACGTGACCATGTACAGGCCGTTAAATGCTACTGTTCGACTTTTTTTTTTTTTTTCATTCTCTTTATCAACAGGCTGGTACAGACTGTTGGTTCGTTCTTAAGGGAAGTAAACTTGTATACACGCCCTCTACAGGCGAGTGACTGTCACTGCGCTCCTTAAGAGGTGGCGCTCTTTTCGGCACAGCACCTGAACAGAGCTGATCAAGGAGCTCCACTGAGACAGAAAGACTTTTAAAACTGAAGCAAGATAAGGAGGACTTTTACCAGAAAGTAACGGATGTTTTTGTGCAGAAGGAACGGCGCATGGACTTCATTTATAAGTAAAGGTAAGACAGCAATAAGTTTTGTTTTGTTAGAATGAAATGTGCGTTTTGCGGGCTACAGTATGTATGTGTAAAGAATGTAAAGATGAAACATAACCCGAAAACTGCTGCCAGTCAAATGGCAAATGAACTACTCTGTAGAGTGCAAATAATTGTCAATCTGATTCTGATGGAGTCAGTGCCTCACCTGCCATGAACCTCACCGCACGTCACTGCAGTAAAACCACCAGTTAACCGGAAACACCGCTGAAACAGGAACACCCGGAACAGACGGATATTAAAAGTTCAGCTGGACTCACAAACGACGGACACTTCAGTTTAAACAGACGGAGCTGCAGCCCTTAACTTTGTTAACTAAGTTAAGTGACTCACTCGCGGTGTTTTCGAAGCTTCGAGCATAAATGAGATCAATAAAGCAGGTGAGTTTTATTTCCGGTCTAACTGACAGCAGCACAGCACCGTTATGTGGACACACAGACTGCAGGCTTTTAGTGTGACAACAAGAGAAAAGTACAACTAATGT